AGACCCTCATCGTACTTTCACCGACGCTTTTATCGCTGAAGTCGGCGGCCTAAACGATCAATTCTTCGACGTCCTTTCAGCCTCGGAATTCGATCCAGACTTCATCCCCTCGCCCGAAGATGCGGCACGCAGACCGTCCATCCGATCATCGGGGTCCCTCCCCTCCGCAAGCCAGGACTCAACCAGTATTCTCCTCGAACACAATAACCTGTCCAGTCTCTGGGAATTTATGAAAGACCAACTCCGCCTTACTTTCCTTCCCTCGCCGCAACCCTCCGTCTCCGTTGCGCCCTCTGTCCCCTCGGAATTTCAGCCTAGCATGCTAGAACCATACCCGACGATCATATCACCTCTCCTAACAGCTCGCTATCTCTCCTCCGCACCCACGGCAGACCTCCACACCCGTGTCCTGGGCAGCCGTAGCTTCCTTTTCGATCCAACCTCCATGTCATCCTATCTCTCCGATCAGATGGACTGGTGGCGCGGTAATCGTGACCCGCGGGGCGTCGAGATCATGGAAGCATGGAAGTGCCGCATATGCGAGTTCCGCGAGGAATGCTCCTGGCGACAGGAGAGAGAATGGAGCATGGCGAGACGGAGAAAGGGCCCCGAAGGGTCTTGATGCTGCCGTGTAAATCATACAATGTGCAGCTCTCCTTGCATTTGGGTGACATCAGGCATAGACTTGCATTGGGCTACGCTTTCTGCTGGGCATGTTTAGCGATAGATTACTAGACTATGAGTGTATATAGCATCGCTGACAAGATTGTTTCATGGAGCATATCAAAATACGGTAGTATAAAAGAAAATGCAGATGGGCCGTAAGGTAACATCCATTGGAAAAATCAAAAAGGATAACTTCGAACTTCATCCTCCTTGTCCATATCCAGGCCCGCAGCAACCTGCTCCGCATGTTTCTTATCTAGATACTCCAGCAGCACCTCCTCGTACCTTTCCCGTCCCTTGTACCGCGACACATCCGCATCCCAACTCCGGATCGCAGAGGCAAGCCGACCAGGCACATACGGCTCCTTGGCAATCTCCGTGATGGGCTCAAAGTACGTCCGAATGGTGAACACCACCGCCCCGGACCGCGGCAGCCGGCGCAGACTCTGTCTCTCCGACCGGAAGTAATGGTGCTCGATGGCCTTGTTCTTCTGCGCGGTGTTCCACGAGACGACGGGCGCGTCCTCGGGCCCGATACTATGCGACCAGGCGAGCTCGTCGTCGACCTGGATGAAGTAGTTGTTGCGGAGGACGGGGTCCTCGGGTCGAATCCGGCGGAAAAAGTTCATCATGCCCTTTTCGAGCTTGGTCCTGAAACCCGGGACGTCACCGGAGGTGTGGATTTCGGAGAGACGCATCCCGAATTTGTCTTCGAGACGCCAGAAGCCGGCGAGCAAAATCGCGCCCGCGAGCAGGTAGTACTCGCCGTCTGGCTTCTCGAACATGAGCGCCAGGTCGTCTTGGATGAGCCGCGCGCAGGTGGCCATGGGGTCTTCGGGCAGGGGGCGCTGAGTGATGTTGAATGATTCGCCGTTGATGGTGTTGGCGATGCCTGTTGCGGTTTTGCGGAACATGGAAGGGTATCTTTCGGGGAGGTAGGAGGTGCTATATTGTATTAAATTGTAAGATTGTGTTATGCTGTTTGGAAACCATGGATGTTGGCACGCACAGCTCTTCCAGAAGCTCAATCGCACCGTCCATCGCCTCAGGTGCGGTTCTGCAGCATTTTGCCCCCCTCTCCTTGATGCGACGTGCTTTGTCGGCGTGATACCGTAGGTAGTGGTTGTCCAGCTCTAGAGCTTCTGTCAGCGTATGAGGCCATGGATGTGGTATGTGAAGATGTCTTACCGATCCATTCATCCCACTTCATGCTTCTCAACCCCATTGTGATAAAATACTTCCTGTGTTGATCAGTCATGAGACTTGAGTTAACATCCGGAGCCACTCACGGGCCATATCTGAATGGTCGATATGGTATCGGCTTAGTCGCATGAACATCCCAGTCTGGATATGGAGAGGCGGTCGGCCTCTTGAAGTCTGAGGGTATCCATTCTTCAGAGAGTCAGTGAGTCGACAGTTTCGAATGTCTAAAGGCGTGTCTTACCTCCGGGTTTTCTGTTTGGCTTTTGAATCTGTGATGTCGAAGACGATTTCCTCTCGAGATCTTGAGCTAATCTTTTGTCGCTTCCTTTGTTCGAGAAGCGAAACACAGAAGTAGCAAGCCAGATCAACGTTGCTACCAAACACAGAGATGCTGCATGTTTGATGTGAAGCTGGCTGAGTTGCACGAGTTCGGGAAGCATGATTTCATTTCTCTTCTAAGAATCAAGAGGAGGGGTAACCTGAATTCCCATATGACCGTAGACCCCAGAGATAATTGCTATTATATGAAGACGAGTACAACTGCTGAACAGATAAGAGTCCACCCCCGCCACTCCATGTTCTGTATGCACATTGCATTGTGCAGCTCAATAGAAGAGGCGACTTGCTTGACAGGACATAGATGATTTTCCATTTGCGTTAATCAGATGCGACCGTCGACTGGCCAAACAGGAAGCTTGTCCGTAAACTGTAAGTCTGCGTGGGGGTCATCCGTGCGGAGACATATCTTATCTCTATTTAGCCTTCAGGGTGGACGTCACGCAAGGGATTTCTTATCCAAATCAGGTAAGGTCACAATGCCGCCTGTAGTTCTTTTGACCACTCGGTGTCTCGCCTGCGGGATCGCATGTGGTGCACGAACTTGGGTAACGGCTCGAGAATTATGTACACTAAGAGAGATAGTGGTGATATCAGGCCGTCTTCCGCCGCTGGAGAAGACAGTATTGACCCCAGCTTCTGCGGAAACGAGCCGGCATCATAGGGAAATCAGGAACCCAAATCAATCGACCCAGCAAGCTTGATTGGGACGTGTCGAGGAAGTCCTTGCAGGTTACTGTCTCCCATTCTGATCCATCTTGCACATAATCAGGCTCAAGTTCCGTGGCAGCTCGTCCTAGGAAGGACGAATCCACCAGATATGAGCACTGAGAGATATCGACCTTGTTCATGTCAGCTTGGGAAGGAGAATTAAGATGTGCGAAGATTACTCACGTATTTACCAAGGTCTTCCTCGTTCCGATCGTTCATGCCGGCAGGGATTTGTGACGTGCCTTGGATAAGACCCGAGTAGCTTGGGGCATCCGGAAACTCTCCAGGAAGCAATCCTCGAAACTCACTCTTGATAAATTTCGCACGCATTCCGTTTGGAAGAAAGTATGATGATGGGAATCGATACCACTCTTTGCCGAAGCACACAAAGCCACCGGATTGTGCCATCTCCAACTGTTGCAGCGGTTCCATCACTTTCAGGGGTGCATTGTAGGCCGTGATCATACCAAGAGTTCGCAGCAGCCCGGCATTGATAGCCATAAGAATTACAGCCATCACCAAGGTCAGTTTGACCTTCGGTGACAATCGCCCAATGATGTCTTTAGGGTTACTTGACCCGACGTAAGAGAGAATCATATGAAAGGAGATGGCCGCATTGAGTGCAAGGAAAGGGTAGGCGGGATACATGAACCTTTCCTCTTTGTGCGGCTGGACAGTGAAGATGGCCAGCCACATATAAAATGGCGTCACCAGAGTCACGGTCCGTAAGAGAGTTTGGACATTGGTGGCTTGAGAACGGAATATGGCCTGAAGAACAAGTATGGGCGCAGCAGACACGGCCAATACAAACCATATATTGAAGTTCAAAAGCAGATTTTTGATGTAGAACGTCCACGGCTCTGTACCGAAGATATCAGGCCCCCTGCCTTCGCCTCCAAAAATGTTGTAAGCAACAATGTTCCACGGCACAACGGCGAATTTTTGGAAAAATAAGTAGTCAACCGCAATTTCAACACCCTGTATCAGTTAGCGAGAAGCGCAGAGGGAGGGGCCGGAAGGAGCGCACTAGAATAGCCAGACATCTTATAATGCCCTTGAATATACCCACAAACAAACTTCCAAGAGAGCCGGCAATGAAGTTGATGGCGACCTCCTCAAGGAGAAGAGGAATGATCAGAGCTCCGGCAAAAGGCCAGCCCATGATTGCTCCGAGACCGAACCACATAATGCCCTGTGCCGTCTTCTGGCCACCCCTCCAATCCAGAAAAGACGCAAGACCTAGCATAGAGGTATACATGGTAAAACTAGACGGTAAGAATGCTGCGGAAGCATGGAACATGCCCGGACTGAAAGCGACAATGATCAGGAAGAGGAGGCCGATTCTGGGGTTCAATGTCCGGCAGATTGCGGAGTAAAGTCTCGTCTCGCAGGCGGCGCAGACTGCTGCCAGCACGAATCGTATAGCATAGAACTCGGCTGTCTTGTTACTCGAGAAAAGAAACACTATTTTGCCAACCACAGCATGGGCAGAGACGTAGAGCCAGCTTCGAATTGAGTAGGCTGGAGAATACTCCCACGTTTGCAGCCCGTACCCATGGTCCAGGTAGTGAGCGGGTTCCCAGAAATTGAAGACTTCATCGCAGTCTTGAATCGGAGCGAGTGCCGCAGCGACAAAATTGGAAATAAGGAACACATATAGTGTGACGTTGAGAGGGAGATAGAAAGGAACTGGTCGGGAGCTGCGAGGGGGACAGATTGTTAGCTGGAACGTGGGAGATGCCATTCAGACTGAGATACCGTCGCTTTGTCCTTTGAGAGCCATTTGTTGACTGTGTCTCCTTTCTGGCCGGAGCCATGCTGATTGTTCTCGAGGACAGAGACTCGAAGAATTATCAACGCGATGCTTATTGATGGACTTCGTTACTAGGTAATATTATGGTTGGGAATGGACAAATCATGAGAACGGACACGATAACGATAACGAAGCTTGTTCGGCGGCCGCAGCGGCACTTTTGGCAGATCTAAAAAAAAGTGTTCCCGTGAAGAACAGTCAGTTTCTTCACAAACTACTTTGTTCTACCAACGCCTTAGGATTTATTTTTACGGCATTCGTGAGGCTTACAATGGCTGAACAGAAGCCCTCCGAACATGTTCCAGGCGCCTCAGATATCAACGATGAAGGCCCTTCGGCGAAACGACCCTGCATGAAAGATACGCCACCCATCGCATCGACGCCCGTGGACGATGGCAGTGATTTCTACAACACTCCCTGGACGGCAGGAACACCAGTGGATAATAGCAGTGAGAACAAAGATACCACGGATACGGATATGACTAGCGAGCCGGCAATATCATCTAAACCTGCTTCTTTAATACCAGGATTGAGTCTCATCAATGACAGTCTTCAAGACCCGCAACCCGCGAAAGAGGAATCTGCTCCAACACAGAACATGCATGACGAAATGAACCACGATATGACCACTGGAAAGGAAATAACGGAGAAGGATACACAGCATGCGACAGAGACAACAGACCAGGTACAGACGGCGCCAGCTTCTGAAGACGCCCAGCCGATGGATGTAGAGCCACGCAAGGAACAGCTTGAGCAGGAAGAAGCCAAAAATCAGCCCGCGGAGGAGACTCTGATCAATGAGAACAATACGAATGTTGCAGCTCCCGGTGGTTTGCAAGATCATGAAGCTGAAGAGGAGGAAGAGGAGCATCCCGAATGGGAGGTTGATTCCTCCCCATATGAATCATCGTCTGACGATTCTACCACCGATTCTTCCGATGATAGTGACGACGAAGAGGACTATCCGATTCTCTCCGCGGAGGAAACGGCGCGGATTCTGATGATGGCGGAAAACGGCTCTGATGATGAGGGGGAAGGAAAGGGTAGATCAGGCGGCAACCTGAGGACCGCAAATGAAATTCCGGAGGAAGCCCCTCCAATTCCAGAAATCACTGTCACACCTGATCTGAAAATTGTGCTTCTGGGACATGTGGAGTCCATCGTTGAAAACACCCTTCTTATCACAGCCAACGTTTCCGGAGAATACCAAGTGCTCGAGGCAGGTTCTCTGCTCTGCCTTGAAGATCGAACAGTTGCTGGCGTGGTATCAGAGACTTTGGGACGGGTCGAGAATCCATTGTATGCGGTTCGATTCCCCAGCGCTGCCGCTATCGAGGAGCGTGGTCTCTCCAAGGGAAAGAATGTGTACTACGTTGAGGCTCATTCAACATTTGTCTTCACTCAGCCTCTGAAGGGATTGAAGGGAAGCGATGCATCGAACTTCCATGACGAAGAAGTTGGCGAGGATGAGATAGAATTCTCCGATGACGAAGCAGAGGCGGAGTATAAGCGGAGATTGAAGCAGAAGCGACAGGAGCGCAAGGAAGCCAGGAATGAAAACGGCGGGCCGTCTAGGGGCAGGAAAGGACCACCTGGTCCTTCGAAACTTAGTCAGACTGAGCTCAACTACGACGATTCCCCGGCAGCCGAAGACGGATACACTCCACTTGCTCGCCCGAAGAATCTGCATGAAATGATGAGTCAACAAGAGGTGCCTGTCGAGGGCGAGGGATCTTCGAGGAATCCTGCCTTCCGTGGTGGTAGGGGTCGTGGTAGAGGCTCCGATCGTGGACGAGGCAACCGTGGCCGTGGTGCAGGAGGCTCAAGAGAATCTCGTGAGCATGGCTCATACCACGACCGTCCGTCTTACTCTCAGCAGCAAAGACCATCGGATGCCCAGGCTCAACCCTCCAACTATAACCAGCAGCCGAGCTATCCTCCGGCTCAGCAGAACGTCTATGGCATGCCTCAGCAGTTTGCTCCATTCCAACCTTTTACTCAGCAGCCTCAGCAAGCATTTTCTCCAGGCGCTTTACCGACACAATTCAACTTCCAAATGCCTTTCCAACAAGCTTATCAGCAGCCGAACCCCTACCAAAATTTCCCTGCCATCAACCCTCTATTTTTAGCTGCAATGCAGCAGCAGCAGCAACAACAGCAGCCACAACAACATACCTCTGGACAGCCTCAGGTGCAGAATCCTACAATGAATTTCGATCAGGTCAAGGCTCAGTTGGATCTCTTGCGGCATCTGAGCAACGCGAATCAAGGGCCGCCGCGCTCATAATAATTTGATATCATCTGGATCTTCTAGTACTTCTTATTCTTCTTGGGCTATGGATGGCATCAGGGTTTGCATAATGAATTTTGCATTGGGTGGGATTCAAAAGTTGCCTCATAAAATCGTGTGTTCCTTGGGTGTTTGTTGATTGTACAGGACAGTTGCTCTAGATGGTTGTAGCTCATCATGATGTTGCTTTACTTCTAAATTACAATGCTTCTAACAGATCACATCTCTGTCATGAAGTCTCTTCGCAATAAGACTAGAAACGATAGCTTCAGCGATTTACAATTCCTTGGGCTTCGCACTTTTTGCCAGGACCCAAAAGTTCTCCATCTTTGCTCGAGTCAAAACTTCCTTCGCTTGCGAGTCTGTCTCACAAACACGAGCACCCAACCATTTCCTGAATGAACGGGCTTTAGCTTGGCCTTCCCATAGGAGGCTGCATGTGTTGGAGCTGAGATCCTTCAATGCGCCGGTTTTCTCGTCTTCTGCTGACAGCCAAGAGGCAGAGGCTTCGCGATTGCCTTCTCGCACACCGTTTGGCCCCGTATTCTCTGTCCAGTCAATCCGATTCAACATTAATTTCCTGTAATTGTTGATAGAGTGGGAACCACCCTCTACAATGACTAGATTGAACCGAGGATGCATGATGCAGACTCCTGTGAGCGCGTTCTGTTCGGCGTTCTTGCTGATTTTAAAACGATGACGCCCATTTGCAAGACTGTCAATTCGGTACACGGAGACATAGATACCCATTTCAGCATCTTTCTCCTGTTGCTGGGCAATTTTCTCTCTCCTTTGCTCCTTTGTCAATTTCCGAGCCTCATTTGTAGACTCGTGCTTTTCGCGACGCTCTGCAATCTCTCGGGTCACACGCGCCTCAACTGCAGTGGGGTCTTTGACAGCCTCTTCGCCTAGAACCCGCATGAGATTAGATTTCTTGACCTTTGGCGGAGGAGCCGGTTCGAGACCCAATCGGATCTTCGCTTGTTGCTCTTTGAGATCGGCCATTCGTCGCTGACGCCGAATCTTTGCCTGTTCTTTCGGTGTAAGATACATGGGCTTTTGTCCGGGCATATGCTTCTCCTGAGGAGGTTCGAGGAAAACCGGATGCTGGACGTAGACAGTGACGATAGAATCGGGTGTGTCGATCTTGAGGTTGCGTTCATCATCGATAGCAGAGTAATCGTTGCCATTCACCAAACCCTCGTCCCACCATTCGATGGCCGGAGGCGCAGGCACAAGGAATGCTTTCTCGACATCCAAATCCTCATCAATACCAGCCTGTCGTGCTCTTTCTGCGATGCGCCTTTTCATATCCTCTAGTTGGGCTTGCCGACGTAAAGCTGCCGCCTGCTGTATGTATTTGCCCTTTTGATTGAATATCAGTTGCCGTGATTGTCTGGGCTTCGCGATAGTAGCTTTAGGACCAAGGCTTGGATCAAAGTAGGGATTACTCTTGATCTCTTCGAGCGAAGGCCCTGACAAATCGAGTCCAGCCCGATCCTTCGTGCCAGGCATTGGAGAGTCTGTCCGATGGCTCGTCCCGAACTTGGACTGAGCTGACGGCCGTCCTTTACCACTTCGAAAATCTGTAGTATCTGAGAGAAGCGCAGGATGAAGGCCAACATCCAGACCGCCGCGGGCCCGTGACGAACCATCGTCATCGTCGAAGGGAGGAGGTGGAGGAGGAGGTGGAATAGGAGTCCGTTGCTGAGCAGCCGCGTTGGCACGTCCGGTAGCTGCTGCAACTCTCGCTTTCATTTGTTCTAGCTTCGACATTGCTGAGGTAGCGGGAGGAGGTGTAGGACTTGGGCTTGCAGCTGCTGGTGTGAGCGCTGGAGCTCCGCCTCTGGCGGCCTGAAGTCTGGCGCGCACAGCCTCTGCCTTCGCTCTTGCTTCCGCCACCATCTTCTCGATGTCCACCTTCCCAGTGGCAGCGTTGCCTCCTTGAGTTGGCAACGGCGAGCCATTGTTGGAACGAGTTCTTTTCTGTGCGTTATTGTCTTCATCCTCGGGATGAGGCCGCTTCAGTATGTTGCCAGACACGTCCGCCATGACTCAACCACGTTCCACTCACCCACAAATGACTGAGGAATGATATGTGAGAGGTGACAAGACAAACTTCGCAACGCCCGGAATGTAGCTAGGACCGGGAGGTGGTACAGGTAGAATGGATGGACAGTGGATAATTATGATGCGGAACAAATCAATCGTAAATCACGGGGTGAGCATGAGTGGACCGCTTGGCGGTAGCGCACGGCAGAAAAAAGTTCTTGGAGTCAACTTTTTTGCAGCATCACCGCCGAACGAATCCGCCATTTATTTCTCCAGGCCAGCAGCCAAGGAAAATCGCACTGCCAGCGATTTCTGTCGCTCAAGGAGCTGCAGGTAATCATGGCGACGTTCGCACGGCCTGTGGCCTCGTCAATTTCGGGTATTGAATTCGGGGTCTATTCGGATGAAGATATCAAGTCCATTTCCGTAAAACGAATTCACAATACCCCGACTTTGGATTCTTTCAATAATCCTGTCCCTGGTGGTTTATACGATCCGGCTCTGGGTGCTTGGGGAGATCATGTGTAAGTCTAACACTTATGCTATGCTGTGCTTCTTCCTTCTACTAGACCAATCCCTGGTTATCGCTACTTCGGACCTTTTTTTTTTTTGCTGACCGCATTTAGCTGCACGACCTGCCGTCAGAATTCGTGGTCTTGTACTGGCCATCCTGGACATATTGAGCTTCCTGTTCGCGTTTATAATGTCACTTTCTTCGACCAGTTATACCGACTACTTAGAGCGCAATGTGTCTACTGCCATCGTTTCCAGATGCCCCGAGTTCAGCTCAACGCCTACGTGTGCAAGCTACGACTCCTACAATACGGACTAGTCGACGAAGTTGATGCCATAGAGGCGATGGGGAATGGTCAAGGAAATAAGAAGAAGTCTGGAAAGGACGCCGATGATTCAGGCAGCGAGGAAGACGACGACGACGACCTCGTCGCTCGCAGGAATGCATACGTCAAGAAGGTGATTCGGGAGGCACATACTGCCGGCAGACTGAAGGGTATCATGTCTGGTGCGAAGAATCCCATGGCTGCGGAGCAGAGACGCACTTTGGTCAAGCAGTTCTTCAAGGATCTCGTCAGCATCAAAAAATGCAGCAGCTGCAGCGGGTATGTCATGTCGTTATCACACTTCCCCTGCCTATTTATCGTTTGCTGACGAGGTGCGAAAGAATCTCACCCAATTACCGGAGAGACCGTTTTTCGAAGATCTTCCGAAAGCCTCTGCCCGAGAAGTCCAGATTAGCCATGGTACAGGCCGGATTTCAAGCGCCGAACTCCCTCATTCTTCTCCAGCAGGCCAAGAAGTTGGATATGAAGGCAAAAGAGTCGATGTCCAATGGCATTTCTGATACGGCTAGTGCAGTGTCTGAATCACACGGCGCTGAGGAAGAAGTTGCTCGTGGCAATGCCGTCGTTGCACAAGCCGAAAGCAAGAAGTCAGCAGCTGGCGATGCTGGACAATATATGCCTTCGCCAGAAGTGCATGCTGCGATGGTACTGCTCTTCGAGAAGGAGAAAGAGATTTTAAGCCTCATATACAACTCTCGGCCTCTTCCCAAAAAGGAAGCTAAAGTCAGCCCGGACATGTTCTTCATCAAGAACATTCTGGTGCCACCGAATAAATATCGACCAGCTGCCCCTCAAGGACCCGGTGAGATTATGGAAGCACAGCAAAACACTCCGTTCACCCAAATCCTGAAAAACTGTGACATCATCAACCAGATCAGCAAAGAAAGACAGAATGCCGGTGCTGATTCAGTCACTCGAATGCGTGATTATCGCGACCTCCTTCATGCTATCGTACAGCTCCAAGATACTGTTAACGGGTTGATCGACAAGGAGAGAGGCGCATCGGGCCCGGCAGCAGGCCAGGCCGCCAACGGTATCAAGCAAATCTTGGAAAAGAAGGAGGGTTTGTTCAGAAAGAACATGATGGGCAAACGTGTCAATTTTGCTGCTCGAAGTGTCATTTCCCCCGATCCCAATATTGAAACGAACGAGATTGGTGTACCACTAGTCTTCGCGAAAAAGCTCACTTATCCAGAGCCTGTGACGAATCACAACTTCTGGGAAATGAAGCAGGCAGTCATCAATGGTCCAGACAAATATCCGGGTGCCACTGCGATTGAAAACGAATTGGGCCAAGTGACCAACCTCAAATTTAAGAGTCTTGATGAGAGAACGGCTTTGGCCAATCAGTTGCTGGCACCGTCGAATTGGCGCATGAAGGGAGCACGTAACAAGAAGGTCTATCGTCACCTTACTACTGGTGATGTCGTCCTCATGAACCGGCAGCCTACGCTTCACAAGCCGTCCATCATGGGTCATAAGGCTCGTGTGCTGGCGAATGAGAGAGTTATTCGGATGCACTACGCTAATTGTAACACCTACAATGCGGACTTCGATGGCGACGAAATGAATATGCATTTCCCTCAGAACGAACTTGCTCGAGCTGAAGCTATGATGCTTGCGGACGCCGACCACCAGTATCTTGTAGCGACATCTGGTAAGCCTTTGAGAGGTCTGATTCAAGATCACATCTCGATGGGAACGTGGTTCACATGTCGAGACGCATTTTTCGACGAGGAGGATTATCATGAGTTGCTCTACAGCTGTCTCAGGCCTGAGAACTCTCATACTATCACAGAACGGATTCAGCTTGTGGAGCCTACTCTGTTGAAACCAAAGCGTCTCTGGACCGGCAAGCAGGTGATTACGACAATTCTCAAAAACATCATGCCTCCGGGAAGAGCGGGTCTCAACTTGAAGAGCAAGTCTTCCACTCCTGGAGACCGATGGGGCGAGGGCAACGAGGAAGGCACCGTAATCTTCAAGGACGGCGAGATGCTGTGTGGTATTCTCGATAAGAAGCAAATCGGCCCTACGGCTGGCGGTCTTATCGATGCCATCCACGAGGTCTATGGCCACACCATT